ACATGGCCTGGGATCCCATTGACACAAGACTACAGGCGTGCGGCTTCTGAGCTCAGGTGGCGGGAGGCCTGGGTGGTGCCATGGAGGGCAGAGGCCCAGAGGGTGACACAGCCGCCTGCCCACCCCCATCGTTGGAGCGCATTCTCATCCCTCATTAGTGGGATTGCGCACTTTTATTTATTTATTTTTTAAATGTTTGGTCTGTTTTAGTCGGGCAGGAGGGCAAAAGAAAAGGAATAGACAAAAAGCATGTGGGCATGGTGAAGGTTGGCAGGCATGGCGACATGCTTGGGAGTAACCCTAGCACTCTGGGAGGTTGAGGCACAAAGGTCACAAGTTTTTTAGGTTTTTTAATCTATGTATTTGGTACGGGGTCTCACTACCCAGCTCAGGTGCATAGTGATCCTCCTCTATTTTCAGCCTCCTCAGCGCTGAGATTACAGGGTTGCGCCACCACTCCCAATTTAGTGGCCAGCAGGTCACAAGTTTGAGCATACCCTGGGTGACTTTAGTTAGCAAGACTTCAGAAAAGTGGGGCAGGTGACACCAGCAGAATGTATTAAGCCCCTTAGTGTCCCTGTCCCATCACTGCTGACCTGATGTGACATGGGGAGGGGCGGCAGGGCTGAGGGCACAATGTGAGACCCTGTGTGGAAGGACAGCGAAGGGCTACCGTGTGCACACGTTTCGAGTTTCCTTTAAGACAGACCACCCACTCTTGGCAAGTAAATGAGTTCTTGGTAAAGCCTGCAGCAGTACGGCTTTGCTCCAGCAAGTCCTTGAAGTGTTGCGTTTCCATGCAGGTGTGTGCGCTCTGGGTTTTTCTCTGTACTAGTGAGATGCTGTCAATGAGGGGTGCAAGGGCCATCACTCAGTTCTGTGCACAGTGAGTGGCCTTCCCAGGATGCACTTGGGGGCTCACAACCCGCCTGTTTGTCTTATTTTTATTTTTTTGCTTTTTTTTTTTTTTTTTTTTGGCTTATTTTTATTTACTTATGTTTCTCTTAGTGCCAGGAATTGAAAGGGGCCCTTGCCTTGCCAGGCGGGTGTTTCCCACGGCACTATATCCCTGTGCCACCTGTTTAACAAGTTCAGAGCTGGTCTTTGCTCACCCGAAAGAGCGTGCAGGGTTTTTTTGTTTTGTTTTTGTGTGTGTTTGGTTGTTGCAGGGTCTCACTATACAGCTCAGACTCGTGGGGATCCTCATGCTTTCAGCCTCCACAGCACTGGGATTACAGGCCTGCGCTACCACATCTGGACTCTGGCTTGTTCAGCCTGTCCTGGGCATGGGCCTGGTGCACCGGGTGGTGTTGGGGATTGAACCTTGGTCCCTGCACTTTCCTAAGCAGGCGATTTAGTCTGCTCAGCTATCTCGTTAGCCCCCGTGCAAGGTTTTTTATGTTTTTTTTTTTTTTTTTTTTTTTAATTTTTTTTTATTTGAGAGAGAGAGTGTGTGTGGTGTGTTTGTGTCGCCAGCTCAGCCCACCAGGGGGCGGCGCTGGCTGGCATGTGGTGCTGGGGATTGAACCGCGGTCCCCGATGCTTTGCTAAGCTTGTTCTAAGTAGGTGCTTTAGACCACAGTGCCATCTCACCAGCCCCTTGTTTATGTTTTTTCTTCTACTGGGAATCGAACTCAGGACCTAGCCCATGGCAGGTAGGTGCCGTGCCATTGAGCTGTATTCCCAGCAGCATGCAGAGTTACACTTCAAGAACACGCTGGCACCTTCGAGTGGGTGACCTTTGCCCTCTGGTGCTCTCCTGCAGAGGAAGCGGAGGTTTGGGTGTGTCAGCCGCTTGCTGTTGCGGTGGGGCTGAGACCTGAGCATTCAGTGGCGCCTGTCCTCTCCCTCCAGTGCATCCTGCAGTGGTGATCCGACAGCGGAAGTTGTACCGGAGGAAAGATGGGGTGTTTCTGTATTTTGAGGACAATGCAGGGGTCATAGTGAACAACAAAGGCGAAATGAAGGGTGAGCGAGGGGCCTGCGGTCTCTGGGGCTGGGTGGTTTGACTCCGCTGGCCTCTCACCTGTTGTCACCTTTTCCTGCAGGTTCTGCCATCACAGGGCCAGTGGCAAAGGAGTGTGCAGACCTGTGGCCGAGGATTGCATCTAATGCAGGCAGCATTGCGTGAGCTGCGTGTGTCTATGCAAAATAAACAGCTGTTGGCAGGTCTCTGTCCCGCCGCCTTGCCCTTGTGTTCTTTCCATGCTCTTCTCACCCCTCACTGTGGACCTTAGTAGAATGTGCCCCAGGCCTGCGTGAGGAGAACTGCGCTGCTTGGCGCCCTGGGCAGCACTGGGCCGAGCCCAGCACGCAGCGGCCCCTGGGCTCTCCTCGGTCCCACCGAGCGTAAAGGAAACGCAGGGGTGAGGTTTGCCTTCGGGAGCTCACTGGCCTGCTCATACTGCCATTTACTGTTTTCACACATTCTGCTGTGAAAACTAGTTATGAGGGTGTCGAGTTTCTAAAATCAATTTTACATAGTGCATACTGCTTGATGAATGTCCTACATCAAGAAAGGTATTTGTGGGCTGGTGAGATGGCTCAGTGGTCTAAAGCACCTACTTAGAACAAGCTAAGCTAAGCAAAAAGCACAGGGACCGCAGTTCATATCCCCAGCACCACATGCCAGCCAGCCCCGCCCCCTGGTGGGCTGGGCTGGCCACACACACACACACATAAATAAATAAATAAAAATTAAGAAAGGTATTTGTGATCAGATGAAGGGTTGAGTCGACCCTGCGTAGCCTTGTGCCTAGGTAGCACGGGGGTGTGCACATGTGCGCTAGCTGTGCACCATGGTGCCTACCTGTAGTCCCAGCACTCAGCAGGCTGAGGCAGGAGGATCCCTGCAAGTTCCATGCCATCCTGGGCTACAAGGTGAGAGGCCAGTCTTTCTTGTTTTATGAGCAGAATCTATTTATTGAGGGAAAGGAAGCTCCTGTCTGAGAGGGACAGGAGGGGGGCTTGAGCGGGTTCCCCAAGAGGCCCAGTCTTTTGTCATAATTTTTACCCCCTCCTGTGGAGCCAGGGATTGAACTCAGCCCCTTGTGCTTGCCACGCAAGCACTTACTCTGAGCCATCTCCCTGGCTCCAGAAGTCATATGCATTTAACATCATTGCTGTATGAATTTGTCTCCACAGTGAAAGGTCTAAGTTCAAACGTGAGTTGGCCCAATATAAACCCATACCTCAGAATGGAAAAATTGTATGAGCACAACAGGAATAAAAGCTGTCAAAGATAAAGGGTGTTTGGCCACTAAGTTGTGCAACATCCCTGAGTGACTGCTGCCTCTTTGTCCTCAAAGAATGTACCAGAAGTAGAAAAGATAATTTTGTGAGGTTTTTCCCCCCTTTTTTGAGACAGGGTCTCTGCAGTCCAGGTTGGTCCTGAACTCGCAATGATCCTCCTGTCTCAACCTCTGGAATTGCAGGTGTGTACCACCACACCTGGCTAATAAAGAGTTTTTAAAGAATGTTCCCTGGGCACATCCCACACTCACCGCGGAGTAAGGCAGCCTGTGGAGGCTAGGACCCAGACAGCCAGGGTTTTAAAGTGTCTGTTGGGACAGAGGAGATGGCTCAGTAGAATAAGCACTTGCCAGGCAAGCACAAGGTCCTGAGTTCAGTCCCCAGTACCGCAAAAAAAAATTACCTGTCACTGTAACTCAAGCTAGTTTGGACTTGTGTGGGTCTCCTGCCTCAAGATGCCCATGAGGGGCTGGTGAGATGGCTCAGTGGTCTAAAGCACCTACTTAGAACAAGCTTAGCAAAGCACAGGGACCGCGGTTCAATCCCCCAGCACCACATGCCAGGCAGCCCCGCCCCCTGGTGGGCTGAGCTGGCCACACACACACACACACACACACACACACAAATAAAATTAAAAAAAAAAAAAAAAAGATGCCCATGAGGCCGGGACCCTGGACTGCACCGTGTTACCCAGCTACAGTTTTGGGATTTGGCCTGAGTTAGCCTCCCCAATCCTGTGGGATTAAATAGGCCGAGTGGGGCATTCCTGTTGATTTCTGTGAGCAGATAAAGGGATCTTTTTCTCCTTTGAAAGGTGACACGGGGGCTGGAGAGATGGCTCAGTGGTCTAAAGCACCTACTTGGAACTAGCTTGGCAAAGCATCAGGGACCGCGGTTCAATCCCCCAGCACCACATGCCAGCCAGCCCCGCCCCCTGGTGGGTTGAGCTGGCCACACACACACCTCTCTCTCTCTCTCTCTCTCTCTCTCTCTCTCTCTCTCTCTCTCTCAAATAAATAAAAAATAAAATAAAAAAAAAGAAAGGTGACACGGGGGCCTTCGTGTAATCCGAATACCAGGGCACACACAAGCAAGCCCCTCCTTGAGTCTGGTTTCTTTTGCCACATGGGGTTAAACTGGCACCTTGTTTAAGACCGGGGAGCTTGTATGAGGCCTGCGGTGCAGAGCATCGTTAGGAGGGAGTGCTATTTTGGGAAAATGACCAGCTAGGTATGTAACGTGATGTGCCTTTCCATATGGGTGGACGTAGAGCCAATCCTGGTGACGTTGCCCCCGTACTATTTGCAGTTTTAATGAGGTCTATAATTCGGGTGGGGGAGGGGCGGACTAGAGGTCCCGACCCCCTGAATTGTGCTTTTTGTTTCAATCTCACAACCTCAGGCCGGCACTGCGCCGCTGAGCTACATCCTTGATTGGGGGGAGATCCTGTCTCAGAATAAGAGGTCTCAGCGCAAGATCTTGGGTTCGATCCCCAGTACCGCTAGGTCGTCAGGCGCCGAGCCCCGAGCCGGGTCGCCCTGCCCCGCGCAGAAAGCCCTAGCGCTCCGAGGACCGGAACACTGGCCTCCCACTCCCCCAGTCTCCTCAGCGGGACCCAAGCACCTCTCCCCATTCTAAGGAGACGCCCGCCCATGCAGGGGAGGGTGACAATCGCTGTGTCGCAGGGCCCCTTGACGCGTAACAAGGGCAGGGACCCCTGGGGCCCATCCTCAGCCGAGTTCGGGAGGCCAGCATGGCGCGGCCGCGCGCGTGTCTGCAACTGGAAAAAGACTTCGTGCTCGACTGTGTGGCCGTGGGCTCCGTGGCTCGCGCCTATGGCAGTGTGCGGCCCAAGCTGTGGTCAGCGATCCCACCCTACAACGCGCAGCAGGACCCGCACGCCTGCCGCTACTTCCGCAGCCGCCCGGTGCTACCCGTGCTGCGCAGGACTGACCAGGTGCGCGGCCGGCCGAGGTGCAGGACGGGCGGAAGGACAGGAACTGGTGCCAGGAATGCAGCATCCTGAGCTCCGCGACCAAGTCAGCTGGCAGGAGGCCCAGGGGCTCAGCCCCGCGCATTTCCCCCAAGGAATTAGTGTCACATCCTCCCTCCGTGGCACTACGACCCACCCTGTAGGGTGACCTCAGCCACAAATCCTCTAGAAATGGGAAAAACCCTTGTAACATCAGTGCCCAAGACGAAGGGCATTGTCATCTGAGTTGTCACTGTCTCGGAGGCTCTTGACCCATAGTTTCCTATTCTTTGTAACCCTTGCTTTTGCCTTTCCCTACTGGGCATTGAACCCAAGGCTTTCACATTGAGCTACACCCATACCACGTCCTAAAATTTATCTTGAGAAAAGATCTTCCTAAGTCACAAAGTTGCCCAGGAGCTTGAATTTATGATCTTCTGCCTCAGCCTGTCAGAGTGCTGGAACTACAGGCCTGCCCTACAAAGGCAGGGTTATTTTTGTTTGTTTTTGAGACAGGGTCTCACTGTGTGCTTCAGGCCGGCCTTAAACTCACTCTGTAGACCCGGCTGGCCTGGAATTCACAGCAGTCTTTCTACCTTAATCTCCACAGTGCTGGGATTACAGGTGTGCGCCACCATGCCCAGCCAGCTGCCGGTTACCCATGACTCTGATTCCCCCAATACAAGAGGAACCCCGAGAGTTTACTAGGCATCCCTGGACATTTCGCTGGCCTTCTGTATTTTCAGGATCACTGTGGTACAAGTCGGGATGGCTGGATAGTAGACTATTTCCACATTTTTGGGCAGGGACAGCGATACCTCAACAGGAGAAACTGGGCAGGGGCAGGTACGTGCTGCCGTGCGTGCAAATGTGGTCCCCTGGAGAACGGGGGTGTGCTCCACAGTTCAGAGAAAACAGGGGCGGGGCGCGGGGCTTGTGTCCTCTGGGCTTTGCTTCTCAGTGGGACTGTCTGGTGCCACCTCGCTCCTGACATTCTCTGAACACCTACTGTCACGTAGTTTTTACCCAACGGGAGCCTGTGACACCCCTGGGATTGGATTTCCTGTCTGTCCTCCCTTAAAGCACATGTCTCAAGCTGGGTCATCTCAGCTTTTGGAAAGCTGACACAGAAGGATCAGTGTGAGTTCCAGGCAAGCCTGGCTACAGAATGAACTCAAGCCCAGCCTGGACAACACAGACCCTGTCTCAAAGCAGAACAACGCCGCCAGTTGCACTGACACTACCCCCTGAGCAGGCTGCGCCCCGCTCATTTTCCTGGCCCACTTTGGCAACAGTGGGGTGGGGCAAGTGGAGAGAGAGAGTGTTTTAGGCAGGGAGCCCCTCCTCCTACCCCAACTCACTGCTCTTTGGCCATCTGCTAGTCATGTGACCCAGGGCCCTCACCTGGCCCACCCGACCTCATCCCCTTCCCTGAGACGTTTGGAGGTGAGGGTGAGCGCTTCTCGCATCTCCCGGGTTTGGAGCCAGCTCACCCATTCCCTGGTGACGCTGCCCTGCTTTTTCCCAGCACCTGTCATTCCCTGATGCTGTTGGACTAGTTCTGGAGTGTGGGGTTTGATTCCTGGGGTGCCTCTGATTCCAGGGCTTCACCAGCCCTGGGGGCTTGAGGCTCATGCCCTTCAAGAAAGGTTTGTTTTTGAGACAGGGTCTTGCTGTGTAGCCCAGGCTGGCCTCAAACCCATGGCAGTCCTCCTGCCTCAGCCTCCTGAGAGCTGGGATGATAGGAGTGTGCCATCCTGCCTCACAGGACAAGAGCTGGTTTGCCACAGCCTTGGGAGTGGGGAAGGCAAGAGGGCACCGCCTGTGGGTTCAGCCTCCCCCCTTGTCCCCCAGGGCATTCCCTCCAGCAGGTCACTGGCCATGACTACTACAATGCCCATCTGAAGCTGGGCCCGGGCCCCAACGGCCGGTTTGGCTACCGCAGGAACACTCCGGCCCTGCGCCAGCGGCCCTCGGTGTTCGGAGAGGTCACACCATTTCCTCTCTACTGACGGCAGCACTGCCCTTCATAGCTCCTCAGCCCTGCTTCTTGGACAGAGACGTACAGGAACTCTTAATATTGTATATTAAAGAAGTTCTATTTGTCCCCCTGTGTGCTGTATACTCACTTATTTGAATACTAGAATCATAGGCACACCCCACCATACCTGGGAGGAAGCACCTCCTACGTCTTTTACACCCAAGTCCTAGGAACGAGCACAACAAGGTGTCCGCAGAGCTCAGGCTGGCTACTGTTTCTGGGCAGAGCAGAATATGTGGGGGGACACAGGGGCTGGGCCTTAGCTGCCCGGAAGAGATTCCTGAGTTGTCCTGACACATGGAATCATTCTATCCAAAAGACTGGCATGCTAGTAGGGGGTGGGGCAGGAGGATCTCCAGGAGCAGGCCAGCCTAGGCTACAAAGTGAGTTCAAGGCCACCTGAACCTACACAGGTCGCCAAAACCAAAAACAAAACCCAAAAACTGGGCTGGGGGAGATTGCTCAGTAGCATATAATGCTTGCCTTGCAAGAGCAGAGTCCTGAGTTCAATCCCTGGTACCGTAAAAAGAAAAAAAACCATGACATCTCTTTTTTGTTGTTTCTTTTTTTCCCTTTCTTTCTTTCTTTCTTTCTTTCTTTCTTTCTTTCTTTCTTTCTTTCTTTCTTTCTTTCTTTCTTTCTTTCTTTTTTTTGGATGGAAGCAGGGATTGAACTCAGGCCTTAGTACTTGCCAGGCAAACGCTTTTTCTACTAGGCCATCTCTCTAGCCCTTTTTTTTTTTTTGCTCCGAATGCCTTCAGAGCAGGTTTGGCTGGCTTGAGTTGTGGGGATCGAACCACAGCAACCTGAGCCTGACTGTTTTGTTGAAGCAGCCGCTTAAAGAACTGAGCTAAGGGGCAGGCCCTCTCCTTTTTTTTTTTTTTTGGCAGAACCAGGGATTGAACTCAGACCCTTGAATTTGCCAGGGAAGCACTTATTCCACTGAGCCATTTTCCCCGGCTCCTTTTCCTTTTCTTTTCCTTTATTCTTTTTCTTTTTCTTGGAGGAACCGGGGATTGAACTCAGACCCTTGCTCTTGCCAGGCAAGCACTTATTCTACTGAGCCATCTCCCCGGCCCTTCTTTTTTTTTTTTTTTTATGAGCCGAATATATTTATTGGGAGAAAGAAAGCTCCTGTCCAAGAGGGGGACAGGAAGGGGGTCCCAAGTGGGTGGTCCCTCTCTTTTTTCTTCTTGAGATACGGTCTTGGGGCCAGGGAGATGGCTCAATGGAATAAGCACTTCCCTGGCAAGCGCAAGGGCCTGAGTTCAATCCCTGGTTTTGCAAAAACAAAACAAAAAAACAGAAACAAAACAAACGAGAGAGAGATAGGGTCTTACTATGCCGTATTGAGCTCACTTTGTAGCCTAGGCTGGGCTCGAACTCTCAATAGTCCTCCTGCTTCAGTCTCCCCAAGTGCTAAGATTACAAGCCTGTACCACCAAGGCTGGCAACATCTCATTTCTTTTATCTTTGTTAATAAAGAGGCAGGAGGCAAACAAGATTGATATCCGGATGCTGTTAGCCCAGAATTCTGACACAGAACCAGCAGTGCTCTCTACTTCTGCTGTCAGTTTTCTTCTCAGCTTGTGACCACGATGTCACAGAGTGTCCCCACCCAGTTTATGAGTGGCTAGGATGATAGCCAAAGCAGATGATGCTTTACACAAGAGAGGTGAGACCCGAGAACACAAAGCTAGCCAAGGCTCTGGAGTGGGTGGGGCACATGGACTGAGTCACCCTAAGTGGACAAGGAAGAGAGGCCTGGCAGGGTGTGGGGGTATAGCTCAGGGGTAGAGCATTTGACTGCAGATCAAGAGGTCCCCGGTTCAAATCCGGGTGCCCCCTTCCCTGTACACCTTTTTTTGGGGGGTGGGGCACCGCTCAGGTTGCCTTCAGGGCAGGTCCGGTTTGGCTTGAGGATGAGGGGATTGAACCACAGTATCCTGAGCCTGACTGCTTTGTTTCAGCAGGTACTTAAACACTTGAGCTAATGGGCAGGACCCCCCTCCCCCATACATTTTTACTTTCATAAATGGGAGTAAGAGTAAATATTCCCAACCACAATGCCACGAAAAAAGATGAGGACTATACTCAGTTCATTCTTTTTTTTTTTTTTTTCCCCAGAACTGGGGATTGAACTCAGGTCCATTGGGCTTGTCAGACAAGTGCTTATTCAACTGAGCCATCTCCCCAGCCCCCACTCAGTTCATTCTTGTCCTCAAATAATTGTTCCCAATTCTCAGGGAATAAAGCCACCCGCAAGAGCCCCTCTTGGGCTTCAGTTAATGCAAAATCTCACAGGAAGTAATTTCAAATCTAATTGTAAGTCTAGAGCTAAAGCCACACACGGTAGCACCTATGTGTAATCCTAGCTCTCTGGGGGCTGAGGCAGGAGTGCTGCAAGTTCAAGCCTACCCTCTTCGATTTAGGGTCTCAGCAGAACCTTATGTCAAAAGAAAAAACTACAGTGCTGGGGATGTAGCTCATGTGAAGGGTCCACTCTCCAGCGCCAGGGGAAACAATTTACAACCAAAAGCTGTGAATGAAATTTGGCTTTCTGATGTATGACAAAGTAAAGGTAAAAGGAGTTGGGGAGATGGCTCAGTGAATAAGCGCTTCTCTGGCAAGTGCAAGGGCCTAAATTCAATCCCCAGTTCCGGAAAAACAAAAACAAACAAGCAAACAAAAAAACACCCAACACCCACAAAGTAAAGGTAAAGATGTTCTTTTATTTATTTATTTTTGGCGGAACCGGGGATTGAACTCAGGCCCTTGTGCTTGCCAGGCAAGCACTTATTCTACTAAGCCATCTCCCCGGCCC